AATCCTCTAACACTGTTTACCCGTGTACTGTCCGTGTTGAATCCTCTAACACTGTTTACCCCTGCATTGTCCGTGTTAAATCCTCTCGCACAGTTTACCCCTGCACTGTCTGTGTTCAATTTTCTAACACTGTTTACCCCTGCATGGTCCGTGTTAAATCCTCTAACACTGTTTACCACTGCCCTGTCCGTGTTAAATCCTCTAACACTCTTTACCTCTGCACTGTCTCTGTTAAATCCTGTAACACTGTTTATCCCTGAATGCCCATGTTAAATCCTCTAACACTCTCTCCCCATGCACTGTCTGTGTTAAATCCTCTAACACTCTTTCCACGTGTACTGTCTGTTAAATCCTGTAACAAACTTTACCCCTGCACTGTCTGTGTTATATCCTCTAACACTGTTTACCCCTGCACTCTTCCGTGTTAAATCCTCTAACACTGTTTACCCCTGCATTTTCCATGTTAAATCCTCTAACACTCTTTACCCCTGCACTGTCTGTGTTAAATCCTCAAACACTCTTTACCCCTGCACTGTCCGTGTGAGATCTATTCACAATAGACCCTGATCGTTTTCACAGCATCTATCGAAGAGCTTCGCAAAGATCAGGAGAGGAATCAACTTCCCATCACAGATGCCAACCCAGTTCTCCACGGTCTGTGCACAAGACTTGAATACCTGTTACAGGTGAACAGCATGACCTACCAATCCCCTTCCTTTATCCACATCATTTATATAATTTGTAATAAAACTGAGGCCTGATTTCTGTGGAACACTTGTTACATGTGACCAAACAGAAAATAATCTAATAATAAGGGAGCCAGCCATGGATGTCTAAGGAAATAAAGGAAAGTATCAGATTGAATAAAAACACACACAAAAAAGCAAAGAATAGTGGGAAACTAGTAGACTGGGAAATCTTTAAAGGCCAACAGAAAGCCACAAAAAAACTTATAAAGAAAAGTAGGATAGATTATGAGAGTAAACTAGCTCAGAATATAAAAACAGGCAGCAAAAGTTTCTATAAATATGTAAATCGTAAAAGAGTGGCGAAGGTAAACATTGGTCCTTTAGAGGGTGAGAAGGCCAATTTAATAACTGGGAATGAGGAAATAGCCAGGACATTAAACAGTTATTTCGTGTCGGTCTTCACAGTGGAAGACACAAATAACATGCCGAAAACTAATAGCAAGAAGGTTACAGCAGGTGAGGACCTAGAAACTATCATTATCACTAAGGAGGCAGTGCTGGGCAAGCTAATGGGGCTAAAGGTAGACAAGTCTCCTGGCCCTGATGAAATGCATCCCAGGGTACGAAAAGAGGTGATGGGGGAAATAGCAAATGCACTAGTAATTATTTACCAAAATTCACTGGACTCTGGGGTGGTTCCCGCAGATTGGAAAACAGCCAATGTGACGCCACTGTTTAAAAAAGGAAGTAGACAAAAAGCAGGTAACTAAAGGCCAGTTAGCTTAACTTCGGTAGTGGGGAAAATGCTTGAATCTATCATTAAGGAAGAAATAGCAAGACATCTGGACATAAATTGTCCCATTGGGAACACCCAGCATGGGTTCATGAAGGGTAGGTCATGTTTAACTAATTTGGTGGAATTCTTTGAGGACATTACTTGCATGGTGGACAATGGGGAACCTGTGGATGTGGTGTATGTGGATTTCCAGAAGGCATTTGACAAGGTGCCACACCAAAGGCTGCTACATAAGATAAAGTTGTACGGTATTACAGGTAATGTATTGGCATGGATAGAGGATTGGTTGGCCAGTAGAAAGCAAAGAGTAGGGGTAAATGGGTGTTTTTCTGGTTGGCGGTCAGTGGCTAGTGGTGTGCCTCAGGGATCAGTGATGGGACCTCAATTGTTTGCAATTTACATAGATGATTTGGAGTTGGGGACTAAGTGTGGTGTGTCAAAATTTGCAGATGACACTAAGGTGAGTGGTAGAGCAAAGTGTGCAGAAGACACTGAAAGTCTGCAGAGGGATATAGATAGTCTAAGCGAGTGGGCAAAGGTCTGGCAGATGGAGTACAATGTTGATAAGTGTGAGTTCATCCATTTTGGTAGGAATAACGGCAAAATGGACTATGTTTTAAATGGTAAAAAATTGCAGCATGCACTGTGCAGAGGGACTTGGGTGTCCTTGTGCATGATTCGCTAAAAGTAGGATTGCAGGTGCAGTAGGTAATTAAAAAGGTAAATGGAATTTTGTCTGCCATTGCTAGAGGGATGGAGTTTAAAAACAGGGAGGCTATGCTACAGCTGTATAGGGTCCTGGTGAGGCCACACCTGGAGTACTGTGTGCAGTTTTGGTCTCCTTACTTGAGAAGAGATATACTAGCACTGGAGGGGGTGCAGAGGAGATTCACTCGGTTGATTCCAGAGTTGAGAGGGTTGGATTATGAGAGACTGAGTAGACTGGGATTATACTCATTGGAATTTAGAAGAATGAGGGGAGATCTTATAGAAACATATAAGATTATGAAGGGAATAGATGAGGTGGAGGCAGGGAGGTTGTTTCTACTAGCAGGTGAAACTAGGACTAGGGGGCATCGCCTCAAAATAAAGGGAAGCAGATGTAGGACTGAGGTCAGGAGGAACTTCTTCACCCAAAGGGTGTGAATCTGTGGAATTTCCTGCCCAGTGAAGCGGTTGAAGCTTCCTCACTGAATGTTTTTCAGGCAAGGCTAGATAAATTTTTGAACAGTAAAGGAATTAAGGGTTATGGTGAGTGGGCGGGTAAGTGGAGCTGAGTCTCAAAAATCAGCCATGATCTTATTAAATGGCGGGGCAGGCTCGAGGGGCCTGATGGCCTACTCCTGCTCCTAGTTCTTATGTTATAACCACTCTCTGCTTTCTCTTAGCCAGTGAATCTTCTGTCCATGCCCATATATTACCCCTCTATTTCATGAGCTTTTATTTTCTTCAATATTTTTGGATGGTTCACGCACTGATAATGTACTTGGAAATCTAAGTATATTATGTTTACAAGTTCCCCTTTATCAACAGTAAATGTTACTTCTTCAAAAACTCCAATAAATTGGTTAAATATGGTCAGAAATCTTGGGTACATGTCGCAGTACAGGTGGCCCCACCACACTTTACACTCTCACACATGCATACATACAGACACACCCACTCACACAAACACACACACACACTCTCTCTCTCCCACACACACACACACATACACACAGACTCTCTCTCTCTCCCACACACACCCACTCTCTCTCCCACACACACACAAACACACACACAGACTTTCCCGCCCACACACTCTCTCTCTCTTTCCCACACACATACACACAAACACACTCACTCTCCCTCTCTCTCTCAAACCCCCATACAGATACACACACAAACACACATGCACACACACACAAACACACATGCACACACACACGTACACGCATGGACACACATATCTAAATCTACGGTGAATTTGTATTTGCAGATACATTCCATTTTGTTCAAAAAGCACATGATTTATTGACAGTCAGTCAATGTGGTGTTTTATAAATTGCTACTTTAGAAGTAAAACCAGTCTGACTCCAAACCAAAACTCAAACAGATTCTAAACAAGGCCTCATACCTAATATGGTTACAGAGATAGTAGGAACCGCCAATGCTGGAGAATCTGAGACAATAAGGTGTGGAGCTGGATAAACACAGCAGGCCAAGCAGCATCAGACGAGCAGGAAACCTGATGTTTCAGGTCTAGACCCTTCTTCCGAAATGGGGCCCATTTCTGAAGAAGGGTCTAGACCGGAAACGTCAGCTCTCCTGCTCCTCTGATGCTGCTTGGCCTGCTGTGTTCATCCAGCTCTGCACCTTGTTGTCTCATACCTAATATGCATTGTCTGACCTAAAATGTCACCTCTTCTTTACACTGATAAAACCTTTAGCTCTCTCAGGACAGTGACTTCATAGGAATTCGGGGATATACACGTACATATTAATCAATTAAAATCTTCTAATTGAACAAAGATTTAGCTGCATCTTACGTTTGTTTAGTACATCCTGATCAATGGTGTGAACCTTTGATCTTTTACTTATAAATTCTGTGTCTGATACTCCCTCTCTCACTGACACCTAAGGAGTGGCTCCAAAAGCTTGTGTTTTCAGTTAAACCTGTTGGACTATAACCTGGTGTTGTGTGATTTCTGACCTTGTCCACCCCAGTCCGACACTGGCACCTCCACATCTTGCTTAAACAAGGTTTCTCTTTCAAAAAACCATGTTGACTTTGCCCAAGTATATTTTCCTTATGACAGCTGATTAGCTTGTAGTTTCCTGCTTTCAACCTCTCTCCCTTTTTTGAATAAATGACATTTGCTAAGATAAACCTTCAGATACGCATCAATGTTACCACCTTAAAATGTCAAATGCCAGCCACGCCAGCAAATTGAGATGAATTTATTTCATTTCTGTTCCCCTTGTTACCAGTATGATCAGAAGGAGAAGAAGACGATGTTTGGGAGCCGAAAGGATTACTGGGATTATATCAGCCTGTGCCTGAATAGTCACAAATGTGGAACAAATGCTGTGCAATTTATTAACCACACAACACAGGTAGGAGTGGGTAGAACAGGTTTCATGTCTTTTGTCTGTAAATGTACCAGTTTATTCACTAACACAGTGATATACAGAAAAGGAAAAGAGACCAAATTGTTTGTCACCCCTGTCCCCATCCTGACACAGTAGAACCTGTCCATATTATCATCTCTATACAGCCCTCACTCTCACCCTGCAGTTACTCAGAAAAGTAGCAAAGAAAGGGAACAGCCAGTCAAAATGTCTGCAAAGTTAGTTTCCATCTCCGGTGATAAAGCAGGAGATCAAGGTGACCAATGTCACTTACCCCCATCAACCTATTGATAAATCTCAACTGTCTCCAGTCATTCAAACAGAATGGGTTTTGCAGCAGAGACCAGAGAGGGAGACCTTTACACTTTGCTGTTTGTAAGAAAGCTGTTCCTACACACTGAATCTCATAGCAAGCAACCAATAAAGCTCCAATGCTCTCTCTTTTTGTGATCTGCAGTTGAACACCTCCCTGGGGAAGGGACGAGCTTTTATCCGATACTGTCTGGTCCAGCAGAAACTGGCGGACTCGTTACAGCTGTGCTTCCTCAATCAGCAGCTAGTCGGGTAAGGCAAGTGATGTTTACACACCAGGATAGGCAATGGAAGGACTGAGGAGTCTGAGAGACAACTCATCGATGGAAAATCAAAGTTATCTTTCTTTATTCATGGAATTTACTACATCTGATGTTAGTGGGATAACAAGTCTGAATTTTGTCCACCATGTAGCAGTCAATTATCAGCTGTCTCTCTCTACCCAATCATTCCTGTCACTATCCTTCTGTCCTCACAGTCTGAATCCTTCTTGCTCTGTGTTTCTATCTTAATCCCTTAATGAAATCGTCTCTCTGATTCCTGTTTGTCAAGTGCATTTATCCTACCATCTGTAACTGAACAGGATTTCTATCCACCCCTCCCCAGTCCTTCAGTGTGTCTGTTAGATCCTTAAGCATGGTTCCTCTATATCAGATCTGACATGCTGCTTTCTGCAAATATAAGACTGTTTCTCCTGTTATCTTATTAACTCTGTCATTGAGGAAATTATCAAATCTTAAAGCTCTCTCTGTCTTAGATTTCTGTTCCATCGCTGATAGAGGCACATCAGGCAGAAGGTTCTGCAAAAATATGTAGAAAATAGGAGCAGGAGTAGGCCATTCAGCCCATTGAGCCTGCTCCATCGTTCAATATGACCCTGACTTATCATCCAACTCGGTCCTCTGTTCCTGCTTTCTCCCCATACCCTTTCACATCTTTATCTCCAAGAACTACATCTAACTCCTTCTTGAAAGCATTCAATGTTTTGGTCTCAGCCACTTTGATTGGTGGAGAATTCCACAGATTCCCCACTGTCTGGGTGAAGAGATTTCTTCTCATCTCAATGAGACAATGATAAACGTTGTTTTTGGCCTGGGTTTCTTGTCTTTACTCTGGAGATCTCTGAGGAAAAGCTGAGGGTGGTCTCTGAATCTTCTTGGTACTAGTGCAGGGCATCGGGGCTAGTGGCACAGCATAAAATATTACGGTTAGTTTTTTTAAAAAAGCCCATACAATCCGTCAACCTGACAAAAAACCCAGCCCTTTATCTTTTAACCCTGTCTGCGATGCCTATGGTAAAACTGGATGATAGGCTTTGGTGACAGAGTTACAGTGTTTCTCATGTGATATTAAATCAAGGCCCCATTTACTCTGTCAGATGGGTGTGAGAGATCCTGAGGCACAATTCCACAAAGGAATGTCCCAGATGTTTGATTCATATTTATCAATGACACAAAAAGATTATGCTTACACTGTTATTTGTGGGATCTTGCTGTGTGCAAATTAGATGCTACATTTCCTGGAATATGATTTGGAGGTGCTGGCGTTGGACAAGGTTGGGAAAGGTCAGAAGTCACACAACACCAGGTTGTAATCCAATCGGTTTATTTGAAATCAGAACGCTGCCCCTTCATCAGGTGGAGTGAAGAGAAGCACACAGGCACAGAATTTATAGGCAGAGGGATCAAAAGATTGTACAAATGGTGTGAGTGGAGTGTTGACAAACTGAATAATAAGTCTCTGAAGGTGATCAAGAGTGCCAGACGGTGTGAGTAAAGTGTGAACAGCTGACTAGCAAGTGAAGGGCTGATTTATAATCCAATTAAGAGAGGCAGAGAGACAATTACAAAAAATTAAAAGCAAGGTGACATTGGAGACAAACCAAATGACTGGAATAACACGATAGGAAAAGAGTGGTATGCCGAGGGTCTAACCAAAGTCATAGGTAATCAGCGCTGTTCCACAGGATCGGTGCTGGGTCCATTGCTTTTTGTCATTTATATAAACGTTTTGGATGTGAATGTGGAAAGTATGGTTAGTGACTTTGCTGTTGACTTCAAAATTGGAAGTATAGTGGACAGTGAAGGAGGTTACCTCAGAGTACAACAGAACCATGATCAGATTGGATGATTGAGCCGAGAAGTGACAGATGGAGTTTAATTTTGATAAATGTGAAGTGTTGCGTTTTGGCAAATCAGGGAAGGATTTATACACTTAATGGTAAGGTCCTAGGGAGGGTTGCTGCACAAAGTGACCTGCTGGTACAGGTTCATAGCTTCTTGAAGGGGGGGGAGGTAGTGAAGAAGGTTAGAGACAAAAATACTGCAGATGCTGGAATCCAAGAAAGACAAACAGGAGGCTGGAAGAACACAGCAAGCCAGGCAGCATCTGGAGGAAAGGAGCAGTCAACATTT